CCTGTAGGGAGGGGGACTCTCCCTCCAAACAAAAACCACCTCCCCACCCACCTTCCTGTCCTCCACGCCAGAAGTCGCCTCGAGCAAGGTTAGTGTTCTCTCTCTTCATACTGTACTTTGTGTCATATTTTTCTGGTTTTTTTTAAAAAAAACATATGGTTAACCATATTTACATTGAACCTTATGGGAAAATTTGATTCGGGTCACGACCAATTCAGGTCAAATTAAGTTCGTGACCCGAGGTACCACTGTATATATATATATAGAGAGAGAGAGAGAGCGCAGGGGAGAGGTAGGAGGCCCTGGTGACAAGGTCAAAAGTGAACATCAAAGATGATAATATGTTCAAGTAGTTCAGAGGAATAACACCAATGATGGTCAACTGAACATGTTCTGCAGTTGAAAAGTGACTACAGAGTGGCTTTTTCAGGCTACTCCTCAACACAGAAGTGTTTAGCGCCATACCAGAGTAGCGCTCTCTCTTTGTGCAAAACATTTGCATGCAACCAGAGTGAGTTTGGAGGAATGTCATAATTCTACGCAAACTCACCTTCCCCCCAGCCCTATCCCTACCTCATATTAGAGAGAGCAACTGGTGAATGCTTTTCTCCCCAGCAGGTCATGCCTGAGGGGAAAGGAGAAACCCTTGGGGATCTGCCAGTGGCCTTCCTTCACTTTTCTCGCATTAGATCTCTTGAGGAAGCGCCCTGGACGAATGCTTGTTAATGCAACCAGGAGGAAGATATCCCAGACAGAATCCACCCCATCCCTTTCTTCCCTCTTTCACTCCCACCACCACATGGTTTCAGGAGGGTGAAAAACAAATAGAAAACAGAAAGGGAGCTCCTAAAAGAAGCCTTGGTTCCATGCAGTCCTCTAGGACTTTGTCCCTACTTTGGAAGTAGGAAGGGACGGATTACCTCCAATGCTGTCTTTGCATGAAACAAGTACTGTAACTACAAGGGGATTAGTTTAGCCCCAAATAATTCAGGGTTTGCTCTTGGTGGTAATTGTTTTCACACAACACCCTAACCCCCATCACAGTTAAGCCACCCTGTGATTAAGAACAGCCTGCCAGGTGAACTAAGAAAGGAATCACAGTCCTACAGAACACCTACAGTGATTGCCATTCATACTTTCTTGTCTCATTGATCACAGATATGCGACTTCCCTCAATCTGAGGCCATTCCAGTTTTGTGCCATGTTTAGGGGCTCATTTGGGATGGGAAGACCATGAGTTGTCAGAGGTGAAATGAGTGCCTTCAACATCTGCAAGTCTTCAGGCATGCAGGTAGCGTCTTACAAGCCCTCAACCATTGAGATACAAAAAACGGTTGGGTTGCATACTGCCCCAACAATGCGTGTTTTGTATCTTTATCCTAGATGTATGCCTTTGGTGGCATCATTACATGTCTACTTTGGCACCTGCTCCCTCCCTTAGGCCACTTCAGCTACCAGGTCCATCAGATTATTTCTTTTTAGTCCCTATTTTTTTAAGTATAAATGATCTGACTTTTATTCCCCAGGCTAAATATGGATGAAAATGATATAATGCTTCAGATCACCCACATCTTCAAATTTTGCAACATAATTTTCAGCTTACCAAACATAATTTCCTACATGCTGTATGTATAAAAGCATACAAAAATATAGATATCAATTAATAACTCCTTGAGGATGCTTATACACCATTATTGATTTTGTACTGATTGTACATCATAGGAACAATCCCTGTAGTTCCTAGAACTGTTGTACTGGTTTTAGGCTCTGCCAGATCTATCTATCTATCTATCTATCTATCTATCTATCTATCTATCTATCTATCTATCTATCTATCTATCTATCT